CTGCTCTCTTCAGAACCATGTCTTCTCCGGTCAACAGATTCTTTTGAGTCAAATCATAGAGTTGTTGGTCTGACTGACCATTCAGTGCATTGGAACCACTCTTCAGACACTCGATGTCTTCACTTCTGTCACACACGACTGAAATGATAGCAGTTTTTCGTTTAATATATTTATATTAATCTAAAAGTATTAGTATTTTGTGAAATAAATGAATATAAATACAAACCATAAGACAGAGTGAGAGACAAAACCACAAATTGAATGCAAATTGAATTCATTTTTCAATTATAAAACACTTTTCAAATGTTTTAGTGAATGACTTGAATGAAGAAATGAAACTCTTTTTATACCCAATATTTGCAAACAAATCATTTTCATCAATAAATCAGTCAATAAAATAAATCCCATTTTCTCGATTAAAATCATAAATTTCCCTGATCAATTTGTAATTAATATTGGTTATAAAATAAGTATTGTCATTTTCTATCACAAAACCTGTGATGCATTTACATTAACAGGTGATTTTCAATCCTATCTTTAATAGATTGTATGTTTGTATAAAATATTAATTTTTAATGTAATAAATTAAAACATTTAACATTATGTTAGACACTTTATACCAATTAAAACAATTAATCAATTTATTTATAGTAATAAATGTATTTTACAATTAATTCTTTGAAAACAGGAGAAAACAGGAAGTCTATCACATGTTTCATTAAAAATTAAAACAATTAAAATATAATCACATCCATGTCCTCATTGCGACTCTAACTACAGCCCTATCCCTGAGCCGATGTGTGTCTCCATTCTCTATCCCTAACTATCGGTCATTTAAATACAACTTTCAATACAATCATAGATTTTAGTCCAAATTGTAGTCAATTCAGTGATCACTTGATATTATTCTTATGTATTATACTTTATTAGAGACAATAGATGTACCGATTCTTGAGTTATGTCTTATTATATAATAATGAGTTATCATATCATCCATTAAACTGTATTAATAATAATTATTGTTACTTTTCGGCCAAATTAAAGATTTGTATTTCAAATAAATTTTACTCAATTTATCAAATGCCTGTCCTTTTATTACAATTAATTTTATTATAGTACTAATTGATTATCAATCGGAAAGCTATATATACACAGAATTATCTGAATCTCGCGATTATCTGAATTTGAATTTAAATCTCAATAAATAATAATTAAAAACATAATAATCGCGAGAATTCATTCAAATTAACGTATTATTCAACGGTTTTTGTCTCACTCTTCAAAAGCCTATCAAACGATTCACATCTCAAGCGATTACTTCTTGCGATTCACCACTCATTTCACGACAATTACCACTACTTTCGACATCAACTCAACCATTGGATCAAAAGCAATGT